GGCACAGCCAGGGGATCAGAGTGGGGTCCTCTACTGTGGACCAGGGTCCCTCCTGGCGAGAGCAAAGGCGGCACTGCTCAGGGGTTATGTAAACGGAAACGGAAGCTTTGGAAACGATAAGGCACTTACTCAAAGCCATGCACCTAGTAGGTGCAGAGCCAGGTGTCCAGCTGAGGTCTCGGGGGCTGAGCGGTCCTCTGTCCTGAAATAGTATTTAATACTGCAGACATCCTCCTGAAAGAGGTGATTTTCATTTTATCCATGCTTCAGAGTAGCAAAGATGCCTGCCTTACCTTTACTGCAAACCAGTACTTTTTCAGATTTAGTGTTTCCAACTAAACAATCTCCTCCAGTTCAGGGGCAGAAGGGGTTTCTTTAAAACAAATCAAAGACTTGTACACCATGGAAAATATCAACAACTCACCATGTAGTTTCAACTCAAAACTTTGAATGCTTCCTATGAACAAGGCTATGTGCTGAAGCCTTTTACTGAAAGAATCTAATATTTAATATTTTGCAAGAAATTAAAACAATCGGGCAGCCTGGTGTTAAAATTAAGCATGCAGCATGAACTTCACTCAACGTATACCATCCGTATTTTAAAATCATGATTGGAATTCATGCTGCGTCCAAAGCACAGGCGTGAGGAGAGAAGGTGTATTGGGGAGGAGAGCTGGGGCATGTCTCAATCAGGTCATTGCTTACGTTACACCATAAAAGGATTTCCAGAAAAAGCTTTCTATTGTCCTTCACAACTTCTCATCACGAATTCAAATATTTGCAAAGGGCATAATGTGGGCATATTTTAAATATTGACATTTTAAAAAGAAAGCTAAAATATCCCTTTTAAAATGCTCAGTAGAATTTAAATATCAGAGCAACTTGCTGTCATAATTACCCTTTTGTCAAAAAGGCTTAGCCACTCGTCCGTCCCCGACAGGAGTTTCACATTGTCCCTTTGTTCTTGACCCCATATTTCCATTTCTTAGTCCCAGATTTTTAGCCTAAGGAAAAATACTGTTACTACTGAAAGTCTTCATCACCCTATCATATTTCTCTACAATAGAAATATGTATGTATATACCAGTAAGATAAAATTGTATTTTGATTTTCTGTGGACCCATGACAGAAAAAGAAATTCATACTATTATCTGAGAATCCAGGACCATCCCTCAGGAGGGAGGCATTCCTACAAGATAGCGAAGGTATGGTAGAAGAGATATCATTAAATTTGTCATCAACCCCACTGTCGAATCTGTATCCTATCTGAACTGAAGCCATCCCAAACAGGCCTAATTGCCCTATTCTTGGCCATACTTTGCTGTCACCAGAGATACACATAGAAGAGGCGAGCAGAGCCCTGCTTGAGGTTACAGTACCCTGAGGAAAGAAGTGTCTCAATGAAAGAAAGCTTCATAGACCCAGTATTTGCAACCAAACTTTGTTTGATGGAAGTGTTCACACCCTGGGACAATGCACAATATTAAAATATAGGATGGGTGAGAAAAATGCCTCTTTTCTGATAAAAGCGATTGTGAGTTGATGGAGTTAGGAAAAGCCAGCATGACCACTGGCCCATTGCCGTACAGATTGATTTTAGAAAAGAATGTGCAAAGAGTTATGTTCCCCCAAAAGATAGGAAGTCCCAACCCCCAGCACCTCTGAAGATGGAATTGGTTAAGACGGGGTCATACAGGGACCCCTGATCCATTGTGAGTGGCATCTTTATAAGAGACAGAGAACAGAGGGATGCAACTGCCTGCCAGGGACCGCCAGGGACTGACAGCCACCCCCAGAAGCTGGCGGAGGGAGGGAGGACGCCATCCAAAGCTCGGAGGTAGTGTGGCCCTGCGGACACCTCGAGTTTGGACTTCGAGCTCCAGAACTGTGAGATAAAAATGGCTGTCTTAAGCCACCGACTTTGTGGTGTTCCGTTATGGCGGGCTTGGAATACAATTAATTCCAAGTCAGAATTGAGGGTCTGGAAAATGATTCCCCTAACACCATGCGCACCCGCAGACCCTGTGAGAAGCCTCCCCTTCATAAGAGAATAAGCTTCCAGAACTCCCACTGGATGTTGCCTACACACCTCCTGAGGGAAGGCAGATGGAGCCCATTCCAAAACGGGCAGTTACCATGGACACAGACGCAGGGAGGGGAGGGGGCTCAGGGGTTCCCCCTGCTGCATCCCATCTAGCCCGGGCTTGGTCCCAGGTACAGGGCTGCTCAAGCTCCAGGCTGACTCTCCTGCCCACCAGAAGTTAAGAACCATAAACGGGAGAAATGATATAATAGCTTCAGCTTCATGAAATCGTTAACTCTCCTAACAGACCAGCAGAGAAAAGCAGGATCAAATCTCTTTCCTTACTTGAGATTCTGGCTGCACAAAGTCAGTTAAAATTGTGATATAAACCATGCCTTTCTCCTCTCTACCACACTGTTCCCACAACACATGAAGAAAAATTGACAGAGCGGCATATTGCAGAGTAGCGATGAAAGTGTCAAAGTACAACTATTAGTTATGGTTCCTAAAAACTAATGGATGTAATTGCTTCTTCAAAATCATCCAAGTCAATCCTTTCAATAGTCTCTCGGATATGATACACCCACTTCAATTCACTTCAAAGCTGATTTAGGAGCAATGTTTTGAAAAGCGCTGAAATTGTAAACTTATTGCCCTTCACAAGTGTTATAACTTATTTTGAAATACAAGTTAGCTTATCAGCTCCAGCTTGCAGCTCTTTGCTCATCGGTCTTGAATGCTTTATTCCAACAGCACATCCTTAGCAATGTAAGGGACGGGGGATGTGGCAGTGAGGTGACCAGAGAGGTGGACGGGAGGGGGCAGCAGAGAAACCAGAAGTCGCCTAGATCTGGTCCCAGTCGGATTCCTTCCCTACACTGTGGGCCTGGCGGGAGCCTGATAATAAGGAAACACCTTCTGTGGGGTGGAAGTACCCGAGACTCGCTTTGCAGCTTCCTGGTAGATCCCCTGTGACAGTGACTTGTGCAAACGCTTGCCTCCATTATGAGACAGGAGCGCCCCCAAGTATCTGTTCCCTGTGCATCCTTCAGAGCTCCTAGCAGAGGACCTGCCCCAGCAGGTCAGGAAATAGGCACACAGCCTGCATTGATTCTTGGCCAAAGGAAATGCACTTGGAGTCACACTGACTTGAGTTGCAGTCCTAGCTCTGCTCATGCAAAATAGGAGTTCGGCAGTAATTCCAAAGACAAAACGATGACTCCTGTGAATTCCTTGAGACAGTGTCTGGCACCCAGCAAGTGTCAAAACTGTCACTTAATAAAAATGATAGCAATATTACATATAAACACAATAGCCATATAAATTTTAACTGTGGTACATTAAATTGCATTCATCTGAATTTTCATTAACACTGAGAGTAATACAAGATTAATAAAATTACCATTATCATCTCTAGTATCAATGATGTTCTTGAGTACATACTTTAGTGAACTAAACTAATTCCACAACTAAACTTTTTCAAGATATAAAAGGCAAACTCACCAAAAAATTTTTAAAAAAAATTTTTTTAAATAATCCCAGCTGGCCTAGTTTTAGAACTTGAATATACTCAAGAAAACTTTTTCCAGCACCTCCCAAACTTTGCCTGTCTGCCATGGCGACGTCATAAACTCTTATCAGCATTGACGAGAGTATGTTTCCATGTCACAGAAAAACCTGGGAGCAAGCACAGGCTTCTTGCTTTAATATAATAGTTTGGTTAGGCTACTTAGCTCGCAGACACACACTTCACAATGATGCTGAAAAACACGCCTTGAGCAGTTAACCCAATGCTCTCCCATCCCAGAGGAAAAACTGAGGAACTTCACATGTTCTGCAGCCATGAAAAAGAAGGAAGGTCTTAAAGCCATTTTTAGTTCACTTCTGCACTCTTCATGAACACACACAGTGGTGACAGCACTTACATATCAGCGCCTGCTGACCTGTCATGTCGGTGGATGGACCAAGGCTCAGGTGTGTATTCCAGAGCGCTTAGAGCCCATCACAAAAGGCATGATTTCATCCCCGGAATACGTTTACTAAAATTTGAATAAAGGATGCCTCTGCAAGGCATCTTCTCATGTGATACAGCCACCTTTCCCCACCCCTACGTTCATTCTAACTTTTAGTGACAAAAAGACAAAGGGTGATATATGTCAATAGTTATGAACATGTATACTCTAATAATTTTAAAAATGCTTTTCCAACGTGTGTGAGTTACTTCTGAAGAACTCCCCTGCTGGCCAGGCAGCTCACGTGCCGATGGAAAGTTGTGCAATCGTAGCTAACTGCAAAGGACTTGCAGTCCATCAACCCATCCCCCGGCTTCCACATGTGAGACAGAGCGCGTGGGGCAGACGAGATAAGGACAGCGAGTCGGGCTCCTGAGCCACACAGGGCCCCTCTCGGCTCACCACTAGCAGCTCAATTTCTTCCAAAAACCAGATTCCAAATGCCTCACAATCTCTTTCAAATTTATGTTTTTACAGATTGGGAAATCCACATTTCTTTCCAAGTGGACATGAACAGTTTTCCCCTATGAATGGGGAACTTTTATGACTTTAGAACCTACATAACTGAGATCTTCTTTGGAAAGATATTTTTAAGCTGAGAGAAGAGACAGCTGTAACGTTCTCTCCTGGCTCACAAGTTGGCTATTTTTTTGCTTATGCTTTTTAATCAAAGGAGAGGAGTCTCTTTTCTAGATCCTACAGGCCCCTTTCTCTTTCTTCATCCACTTCGGGTAGGATGATTATTAGAAACCTCTGTGCTATAATTTCTGGGCCCTTCTTAATTTCCTTGAGAAAGAAATTTACATTGCGGACATGGGACACCAGGTTCTTCTCTGGATATCCCCTGCCTCCCATCCTATAGACTATGTAGGCCTGAATGATTAGCCCATTAAATGGCTGCAAAATAATCGGACATTTTAAACGCTCAAGACAATTATATATCAAACAGACAGGCACACATGACATATTTTAAAAGCAAGATATATTTTTGAAAGCTCATGCCTACAATAATTACACAGTCATGGAACATGGAAATGAAGTTGCTGAACCAAAAGGCACCCGCAGAAGTTCAAGAGGAGAGAGAACAGAACAGTTCTTTTTTGGTTTGTTTTGTTTCCAGCACAGGAGGAAAGGGAAAGAGGTGTGTTACAATTACTTTTCAGGGGAAGGTTTCTGTCAGTTGAAGCAGTGAACGTTGGCTTCTTTCCTGCTGGTCCAAAGCAGTCTTTTCTGTCATTGGCCTCTGAGGATGTCCTCAGTCTTCTGCTGTGTAGAGGTGATACATCAAGGCTACGACCAGTGCTGAGATGGCGGGAATCACCCAGTTGGTCCACCAGCTGGAAAGAACAGCAACGATGCTTGCATGGTGTTCGATGCAGGGTTCTAAGAACCCCGCTCCTTCCAATCACCATGAAAATCGCCAAGGCATGTATTTATTACCTCTCTAACCTCTCCGGATGAAAGGGCAACTCTGAGTTGCTAAAAGTGATGCATGCAAGCTGGTATACTGGCAATCAATTGCTCTCTCTTTCTAGCCTTATAAGAAAATGAATGCCGCCCACCCCCACCCAGTCCCACCTAAATCTATTTCTATACAAAGAGCTATGAACCACTCACCCAAAAGATGCTACCTAGGACCACTGACTTATCTAAAGGACGTCAACTCTGGGTTACACAGCACAAGCTCACCAAGGGGAATATTCCTTACAGGTTTTCTTCTAGTTCCATACATTCATTAAGAATTTAGAACAGCAGTAAACTGAGACCCAGAAGACCAAGGTGCTCATTTGGGGAGCGCCATCGGCAAGCTCTACAGGCAAGGGCGAACCCCGTCCCCTGAGCTGTGAAGGTGAGGGCTTTGGACCACAGGATGACTAGGGCTCCTCCCAGCACCACAGCTCAACTGTCTATGATTCTGCTTGGAAAATGTGAGCTCGATGTGTGCACAGTAACACAGCTCAGACACCTCAGCTTGGTCCACAGCCGTAAATCCACAAAGTCCCTAACGGACCAACTGTTCTATTTCACCTACTATCAGTGACAGGCGATGGGCCAAACCAAGGACAGGGCCAGGCAGGTCTTCAATTTAGATCTGAGCCTATGGTTTCTTAGAAAACAGAAATGTATAGGTTTTCGGCTCTGAATAAAGCCCGACAACGCCTATGGACACATTCATGTTCTGTCATGAACTTTCCATCCTTTCATCTTCTGCATGCATCAGCCCATTCAAAAATCAAGTGCAACAGAAAGATTTAAATTGTAAAAGAATCACAAGTTTAATGTTCATCTTGGTGGGGCTTTGGTTTCCACTCTGAAAGGAAACTGACACAACAGTGAAAAACAAAGTGGAGTGCTGCCTGCAGGCAGAGAAGGCCCGGGACACCAGCCGATGGCAGGTTCCACTTGACAGCGTGAAGCAAAATCGGCATAAATGGGTGGTTGTGAGCTTGGGTCCAAACTATACATACATGTTGGCAATGATGCAAGGCAGTATGGTAGACCTGCCAACAACGTTCACATGACCTTAGACTAAATAAGAAACCCAGTCCCTACAATAAGCGATTCCGGCCACCCTGGGATTACTGGGTTCAACGTTAGCGCCAAAGGGAAACTGAGACATGCTTGGGGAGGTGTGATCACCACAACTTCAGAACCTGACCACATATTAGGTGAGGAAGGAAATGAAATGTTTGCCTGGGGATTAACAGGCCGTGCAGGCCACCGGACCTCCCTGGGAGAAAGAAAGGAGGCTCGATTTGTTCCGTCTGTTCCTTAGAGTACATGCAGCTGGAGGGCGACCCGGGGTCATTCTGGAGTGTCCACGGTCAGGGCTGCCTGACAGTTTAGGAGGGAGGGCCCTGAGCAGCCTGGTGTCACTGAGAGGTGTCACCCTCGGAAAGAGAGGCCCTCCGATCTGGGAGAGGCCCCAGGCCAGCTCTGCATCACGCACAGCAGTGCTTTCAATGGAAAGCGCCACATACCTGGAATTAGAGTCCACAGTAGTAATAAGAGTTTCCTGAAACACAAGGGAAAAAGTGAAGTCAGTTAAAGAGAACAGCTGACCAAAAACCTATTGTAAAATAAGATCACAATAGTTTAGTCAATGCATTCTTCAAGAAACATTGAAAGGGAAAATGACATCATAAACTTTTTTTCACTAAAATGCCTAGTTTCACCATTTTTTCAGAAGAAGAAAACTTAAGAATAATCTCTATTTAAATTACTTACGAACATAACCTAGATAATTGGAAAGAAAATGTTAAAAACTAATAGGCGACAGAAAATATCCTGCACTCAATAGGCATCTACATACTTTAACGCATAAAATGGGAGATGTGAGTCACACATCCACACAGCCCATGGGTGCCTGTGGGGAGAGCAGCTTAATCCTTCATGAGCATGAACGAAATCATCAATGAACACATCAGTTATCTCACTCAAACCTCATATGAAGTAAAAATCTACTCCAACTACATTAAAAGGTAAGTCAACCAAGAAGAAAAAAATAAGAACTGCCATTTAAATAACACTCTGGGCAACCTTTCCTGGACTTCTTTAAACTCTGACAAAACAGTTCTAGAAAGACTCGCCAGGCCTTGGGGACTGATTTCACATTGTCACCTGCCCAGAAACCTCCAAACTCCCTCCTCCCCCGCAAGTACGCTGGAGTCTTTCTCAGTTCCCGCCTGTCTGACCTCCCAGCAGATTCTGAGAGAAGTTCTTCCTTTCAGCACCAGGAAAGGCGCTGGAAAAATGCATACTTCTCCCAAACAGCTGAAGGACTAAGGCCTCGTGAAATATAAATGTTTCCAGGCTTGAAAATGTGTTAGGAATCACACTTTGAAATTCCACACCAGCCAAAGTGTTAGTGCCTCAAAGGAAGGCAGCCAAAAAGAAGGCAGCGGTGTCAGTTTTGCGTCTGCAGTTCCCCAAAGCACAGGACAAGGAGCTTTTAGCAAAACCACCCGCGGGTGAGCTGAGGCAACGCTCCACACAGCAAGGCGCCTGGAAGCCCCCAGGAAAGGGCAGAGCAAGCAGAGCAGCCCTGAGACCCACCAACCTGGGGACGTGGCTTTAAGATTCCTGACACAGTGGGAGGAGTGGGGGGGGGAGAAAAAGGAAGGCATTTAGAAGGCAAACTTCACATGTATTATCTTTGTAAGCAATGCTAACGCTTACAGACTACAAAAAGTACTCACAACTACTGCAAGATGATTTTTCACATTTTGAGTATTGTCAATAAAATCAACAAGGATTCTTAGAAGCAGCTGGACTATGCAAAAATGTTATTCAGCTATTAGAAGGAAGACATAATCAGTTCTGAAATGGAAACACAGCAGTTCCCGGACGGTAAGATATTATTGTCACACTAGACAGCTAGACCTGAAAGAGTTAACAGCAGGTGAACATGCATTCGTGATTTCATTATACGGAGCACGTGCACATGCGTTTTACTGCACATGCTGACAGCTCTGCATGGACACTCGGCTGGCCTGGCCTCGTCCGCCCCCACACTGCCTGAGGGCTAATGTTTAAACGCTGCTAGTATGTCATCACCACCAGCAACAACAGTGAACTTTGAGCGATCATGTACATTTTTGATTGCTTATTACCTGTTAGGCTTTAACCCAGAGATGCGGGAGAGTTAAAGCAAGTTGGAATGACCACTTAGCGCTCTGATGAAAAAGGAAATGGTCCTCCTGGTCCAGTGCCCGAAAGGACCTGAGTGGGCATTTGGTGTGTAACTAACCAACATGTTCACAAGGAACAGGGAGGAAAGGCTATGGTGTTAATTACAGGCTTTGCCACCTCTCCACTCCGTGACCTGGAGGGTTCAGTTTCAAGTAGGTTAACAACTAAATCAGTGCATGATGAGCTCTATGCAAAAGCGTGCAAAGCCCATCAAGCTTCGCAAATCCAAGTCATCTCACATGTGAGTTCACCTAACTTAGCCCATTCCTTAATCAGAAGCCTTACCTAAAAATACTACTGACTACTGACAGGGTGATGTCGTGAGAAGTCTAGAGCTTACAGAAGGCTGAATGACTGCAATTGCCAAGCCTGAAGTGGCTGCAGTGTGTGGCTTTGAATAAGGTCAATGCTTGGAACAAGGACTGAGTGTCAGTGTCTTCACCTTCCCTGGGTCCCACAGGGCTACTGTGAGAACCAAACAGTCATACCTACAGCAATACTTTGAAAGCTATGACCAAGAAAACGAGCTGCCATTACTAATATCTTCCATGTAAGAAAATCTGGTAAATATGGATCTGTCTAATTAAAAAATGCATCATTTCTATGTCTACAAATATCTTATTTTGGCAACTTAACATCATGTTTCCCTTTGGGCAGGTTCAAGCTAATAATCTTTGGTGCACCTTACTTCACAATTCAAATACATATTTTAAGCATGAGGCATTTCAAAAATTCAGACCATAGCATATAATGATCAGTCTGAAAATAAACGGATAGTTATACAGACACAGACGACCAAAGAGATGCCAAAGGACATGCTTCTTCTGGTAAACCAGAGCACAACAAAGAGAAATCTGGAAAACTGGTCGTGTACTTTCTTTCACTGTGTTTGCTTACAGCTGCTAAGAAAAAGAGCAAGTTCTCAGTCTACATCCCTCCAGCTCTGCTCTAAAGGAAGCAGAGTCACATATGTGCTAAAACCAAATAAAGGAGAAAATAGTATCTCAAAAGTAAAGCACTTATGGTAGGAGAGCTGAGCCCTACTGAGTGCTTTCTGCTTGGAAAGCATCCTGGTTTGGGATGTGGTTGGACCTATATTAGATCTAAGTTCATGTAATGAGCCCTTGTCAAATCCTTGTTTTACAGCAGCTGAATGATTTGCAGCAAGATTACTCACTACTGACTGCATAACAGGGAAAAATATACTTTTTCCCTGACAGACTTTGGAGAAAAAGCAAAAACTTCATGCATCACAGAATTTTGGCAGTCCAAAAAGTGGCCTCATAAAAGGTGCTAAAGTCCCTATGAACTAACCGCAAGGATTCTGTTTTTTGTTAATTTGTTACGGAGGCGACTCAGAGTCTGAAGTCCTCGTTTTATCTCCCAGAAGCACTGAGATTGACACTGAACTTGAGCCTTCCTTGAACAGGGAAAGGACAGAATACAAACGAGGCTGGTCTGTGCAGAACGGCATCATGTAGACTTTGACTGCACTGTCTTGGGCACTGAGGTAAACGTGAACTTGATGCTCTGTTGGTCCAATCACTCGATTTTGTTATTAATTTAAATAATATTAAATTCACCCAGCAAGTATTTATTGAACATCTACTAAGTCCCAGCGATGTGGAGATGAGGAAGACATGGGCAGTGTCCTCTGCTCAATCGGATTTTAAGTTCTCTGAAAAGAGGGTGTGTGTGAAATCTTTCAGGTCAGAAACACAGTGCTAGTGATAAAAAGTAGCTCTTCCAAAGGTATCCACTGACAATTATGATGAAAAGATTATTGTGTTGAGAGTCTTACCAACAGAACACACAGCTGCCATAATGAAACACAATGACTGGTCTATACAAATGAAGTTTTGCAGAGCCAACAGCTCACATATTCATCTAACCCAGCACGCCTGTGCTGGCCCGTCAGGTCAGCAAAGACCTCTGCCATTCAGTTTGCAGATACGAAAGACAGTGGGATAACAATGGCCACTCAGACAGTTGACATGGTCACACTTACCGCAGGCTTGGTTAACTTTGATCTGTCATCCTGCAAGGAAAAATAAGGCACGTTGTGGAATGAAAAAACATCTACAAAAGTGCTCGCGCTTACTGAGATTTTTTTAAACCACCTTACCATTCAGAAATTAGCATGTTAGGTTCATCTAGGTTGTTAAACACAAAGTTTGATCCATTGGACTTGATTGCAAGCATTAACAGGAGGTTAAGGGCTGAGAGATTTTCTATCCCGACTTCCAATGTTTTGAAATGCATCCATGGAGTCATATTTATGTGTTGATGTGTATTTACACTTATCACACTCGGATTCTGATCTTTATTTCAGGGAGCAACTGAGAGCCAATCAGTTTCTTCCCTTCTATCCTCTCCAATTCCCTTTGAGATGTGTGTGTGTGTGTGTGTGTGTGTGTGTGTGTGTGTGTGTNTGTGTGTGTGTGTGTGTGTGTGTGTATGTGTGTGTACGTGTACGTGTGTGTGTTATTTGTGTGACATCATCAGTGAATTCCTGCAATCTCCCAACTGTAGGTTCATAATCTACTTAAACTTCCGGCTGAGGCAGTCCAAGCTACAGTGCATCTGAAGACTGACCACAAGTGAGGCCAGTAGGCAGGTGAGGCAAACATGCTACCATCATGCCCTACAGACCCACCCGCTCTACCCTCACAAGCTTTAGAATGGAAAGAATGAGGATAAGATGAAACGTTTCAAGGGCAGTCCTCTCAGATTACCGTAAAACTACTTCACGTTGGTGAAGCAGGAATCTGAAGATGACTATATGTGAGTGAATCAACTCTCCAGATAAATGAAACTTATTTTCTCAAAGTACCATCTCCTACCACCAAAAAGAAAAACCTCCTCTCCACTCAATGGAAGCTGCTCTAAAACGGATTTCCCGTCTTCGGACCTTCCATGAAGAGCCTCCTTTACCCTTTCCTCACTCACAGCCGCTACAGGAAGCGTCAATCATGTACAGCAGAGGTCTTCACGTGGGTTCTTGATTCTCAGTGTGCTCACTTGGGTTGAGGCTATTTGCCTGTATTTTCTTGTTAGACAGCCCACTTCTAGCAGCACCTCTGCTGCCTTCCAGCTTACTGGTCATGGCAATGAACCTGAGCTGGGAGAGCATGGCTCTAGCAGAGGCCCAGGTGCTCTCTAGAGGCGGAGAGAACAGCTAACACATGACGATGGGGCCATCCATCTGCCTGGGATGCTGGGAGGGGTCCACTACTTCTTTCCAAGTTTTCAGCTATTTTCCTGATAACTTCAGTTGACAGACTAGCGAAGTTTTATGTGGTCATTTAAAAATGCCACAGAAGGGCCTAAATTCACAGTACAGCCCTGGCTTTATATAAAAGCTAAATTAGGTCAGTGTCTGCCCAAAGTCAGACCATGGGCTGGCACCAATGCTGATGTTCTCGCAAGTCTGGGGTTGAAGTGAGAGGAATAAGGATGATGTGTGGGTTTTACAGAAGGGAGAGTTCATTCATTTAACAGAGCTGATTGTTTTTTAAATTAAAATCATTTTTTAGACTAAAATATTCTCAAACTAATGAAAGTGAAAAGGAGTTTCTTAAGAAAAATATTGTGGTCAACAATGAAAAATCAAGTTATGCTGGTTTATACCCCCCACCTTCTACAATTCGCTACTCCATGACCTTTCAGATCCTAAGACACACTGTCCCCAGGACATGGCCTTGGGGTTAGAGGAATCTGGCTTTAAATTCCAGTGAAAAACACAACCAGGGAAATGCGAAGAAATTTCTGGGCAATCTGTTTATGACAAAAATGGTGTTCTAAAAGCAGGAGGAATTATTTTTGCTTTACTCCTTTCTAAATTTGCAAGTCTACAAATATGAGTAGGGTCAGCCCACAGCCTTAAAGAGAAGTAAGTAACGGCCTCCCAAAAGGCACTTACTGGATGCAGCTCGCCAATGATGTACGTTTTGGACAATTCTCTAGCATCCGTCGAATGCCCGACATCCTCAAAGTTTTCAGTAGCATCACCTCCAGCCTGTTCCCGTAAGACTTCTTCCCCACCAGGATGCTGTTCAAAAAATAGATATTTAAAATAAACAAAAAACCAAAAAACACTTTTTTCCAAGCATATGAGATAAAGGAAGTGGCCAGTTCATTTAATCAACAAGGTTACTACAGAAGTCACAGGTGACAAGGTGTAGATGAAAACACTGCACTCCTGTGTATTCAAAGACCCTTCTCCAACAGTGGAAGGTGTTCGTTTCTCCAGGCTATGAATATGGCATTAGGGGCTGTAGGCAGACATTTTTACCGCTCTGGGAGTGTACTCTTTGCTTTCCTATAAAGCTCTCAAAATGACTCTTCTTAATCTTTACCCAGTCTATTTTCTCTTGAGTTTCATCTCTTTGGCTTCTTAGGTCTAAGTATGGACATATATATATATCACTATACCTTAGATGATAATTCATCTTTAAAAAGCATCCTTTGTGCCAGCCAAGTACAGGCAGGGGACAGACTGTTGGACAGGTAAGTGAGTCGCCTGCCTCTTGCCAAACTGACCTTCTAATAGGAAGACAAAGCAAAGCAAGCAGGTGCTGCCGCAGGAATGAATATTATCACTGATAGGGGACAACACAGGCCAAGAGGAAAGCGCTCAGCTCTACGCAAAGAAGGGGATGGAAAGAGCCTTCTGTATAATCAAAGCATTTCAGTGCTGCCCTAGCTGTTTTAATTGGTAAAACCAAAGATGGTCATGACGCAGGGAGGGAGGGCTGACAAATGGGGCCCAGTCACAGATTTAGGTGAAAAAACCTAGAAATTCTCAGGCAAGGGAAGGCCTTCTCAGTCAATTTTAAAAAGTGCTTGGTTAGGGCCGGCCGAGTGGCGCGATGGTTAAGAACTGGCTTGGGACGCCAGAGGGCCCCAGTTCGGATCCCACCGATGAGGACCAGTGACACTGCCCTCCACAGCTAAGATGCTGAACAACAGCTCAACCTGGAGCTGGACTGCCGTGAGTCACCGGCGACGGCGTAGGCTGCAGCCCCTGTGGCAGTGGGCTGCCATGGGCTACCACCGTATGTAGCCAGCAGCCAGCGTGAGCCGCCAGCAGCTGCAGTGAGCAGCCGTCCAGAAGCCGGCGACTGAACTGCCTCGCCCGGGAAGAGCGCAACGATGGTGCCAACTTGGGCCAGTGAAGCAACGTCCTCCACAACTAGACTGAAGAACAAAAATACAGCAACTTGTCTGTTCCCCTTCCCCCCCAATTCCCCAGCGCTGTTCCCATCCCCCCAATTCCCCAATAAAAATCTTTTAAAAAAAAAGTGCTTCGTTATATCATCCTAAATACTTTTGTGGAGAAAAAAAAGTAAGCCTCAGTATTACATAAAATTCACCCTGCCTTTGAGTCAATCGCCTGTAAGTGTCCAGTAAGTGAACAAAACATTCTCTCTTGCACAATTGACTGTCTTCTCATCTTAATTTCTCCCAATAATGGAAGGCATAAAAGCACATAACATTTTAGAACATAAACAATTATTCTGCTTCGAAACCTGTTTCTCCTCCTCCTTTATTTAAACATATCTTGTGCTAAACAAATTTACTGATTTTTTTTCTCTATTTGTAAAACTGTTCTGTTAGATAAAAAGCAGTTTACAATCCATAGCAAAAACAATATGTCTAGTGGTTATTGCTACATGAACTTGGGAAAATCATGTCACTTCTCTCCCGTAGCTTGGGAGGACATGTGTTGACATATATACATCTGACACATCACATATGACCAATAAATATTATCCAGCACTTGTATTAAATATTTTCCACACTTATTATTCCTCAATATGGCTTTTAAAATGGCTATGCAATGTTACACGGTGTAGGCATTTCCAAACTTATTTAAATGTCCTCAATTGGGGCATTCAGGATATTGAAGTCCACTTCACTAAACCAGGGAAGCACCCTGGAGGTACAGGGAGGTGACAGGCTCACTCCCAAAGCCAACGAAAAGCTTCCTGATACATCGGCAAGGCTATGGCCATGAAAACGCGGTTTGCTGATCTGGGACAGTCTGTTTTGGGTGGGCATGAACTGAGAAGTAACAGAACGACTAGCTCAGCACTCACGAATCATGTAAATTCACAGACTACTGTGTCTTCTGTGTGGGTGGCTTCACTCATGAGTTCCTTAACGTTTGGTTCCTGTGAGTACAGACAAGTCTCCCAGGCAGGGTACATCATTATTTTCCAGTTCCAGCCTACACGTATCTTCAAAAGAACATTTCCCATGAGGCTGAAAACACAGACTGGCCTTTTATAGAGAATTGTAAAATTAGGCAAGTTTTCAAAATATAGAACTGGAGCTTTCAAGTGCGAAAATGGAGACAGTAAATACCTATTACCTAGCTATGATTTAGACCCTGCCTAAGCCATCTGTGAGGCAGTGTTCTAAGGAAAAAAAGAGACAGAGAGAGAGAGATTCTGGGTACACTGGTTTCACTGACCACTATTTAAGAAAAAAAAATGCAGTACAGAATAAATGAATTGATGCTAAGACACTATAGCACTACCTAAGGGTTTTTTTAATAATCAGTAAGAAACACAAAGCCTAAGTTGTTGACTTTTTGAGAACAAAATAATGCAAGTTTTGATAAGACCATGAAAGATACGGGAATGGCTTATTGCAATGCCTGGCATTTTCCTTGAAATGTATTTATGATGTGAGGGGCAAGACGGACAGAGAGAGACACAATGCCAGTTAAATCACAATGGTTTGAAATTTGACAATGATCTTATCACTCTTCTCCCTCTTGCTAGCAAATTCGTGCTGCAGTTTCAATAAGCACACGTCGCATCTTTGGACCAAAGGAAGCGTACTTCCTTGCCTGTCTGCGCACGTTAAGTGACAAAGAGAAACTGGGAACGCTGGTGGAGACGGGGCAGAAATTCTCAGAGAACGTACTGCTGTTTCTGGGGCCGGCTACAGAATTTGGGGTGGCCCAAAGAGAAGGCAGCGCTTTGAAAAAGGAAAGCTGTAGCCAGGTGTATCCTCTGCTTGGCTCAAATGCATTTTTATAAAAATTATCAAAAGAAAGAAAAAGAAAAATCATAGAATAACAGGTGGGCGAAATTATCTAAGGATTTTCTGAAAGGTTTTAGGAAAAAACCAAAATGCCTCCTCACACACAAGCACGATTAGAGGTGACAAAAGGCGAAATTCTCTGAAGGACTCTGCCAAAGTTGCTGGAGTGTGGAGCAGAAATCTGTCCTGACAGCAGCCACTCCTAAGACCTGACTCATGCCACTGGTGCTGGCAGCGGTTGCAGAGCCCAGAAAGACGGGAGGGAACGGCAGGGGTGACAATAAGCAGGACGATGAGAACACAAGCGTGTCCATGGGAGCCGTCCTTCTTACATAGAGGTTCCCATTTCCCCCGAGGAAGGCTTTGTTTGCCATTTGCATCATTAGGGAGCCAAAGGCAGTTCACTGGACACACACACACCGCATGTTGCCACATGCCAGGCTCCGCCGCAAGCAAAGCTCAGGGCTCCTTGCAGCCTCGTAAGGACCCAGCAGGAATCCTCTGTGACTGCACAACTCAGGGAAACTAGCATTCTTGAATGACAGCACGGAGCCCTGAAGAGCACACCACCGAGGAGTCAGGGATGGCCTCGCTGAGCTGAGATACAGAGCGGGAGTTGATCAGCCAGGAGCAGGGACGGGGTGTCTGGAGGTCCCACAGACAGAGTGGGAGTGCGGTGGGTTCAGGAATAGGGAGGGAGAAAGGGCAAGCTGGAGAGGGCAGCGCGGGCCACTCAGGGCTGAAGGCCTCGTCAGTGATTTCCGTCTCTATCCTGAGAGCAATGAGAACCGAGAGGATCGGAGCAGGGAAAGTGACAAAATCAGATTTAGTTTAAAACTATCACTCGGTCTTCGGTGTGGACAGCAGCTATCCGGGCAGAAGAGGGTTCGGAAAGACCTCTGCTAAAGCCACTGCGGTAAGCTAATCTAGGGAAGAGGCGACGGCAGCGGGTGTGGCGGTGACAGGGTGGGTGAGTGAGAGGCAGAACACATGGTAGCACTTCCTGTCAAGTGAAGATGGTGGATGGGAGACAGGCTGCGTCCCGCTGACACACAGCCTGGCTTGCACAATTGATGGGGGGCAGCATCGTGGAAAGAGGCCAGGTGTGGGGACAGACAGCTCGCTGCAGTACCCCCACACTCAGTGTGTCCACGTGTCTGCTGAGCCAGTAATTCGCCATGTGTGACTGCGAAATCTCCCTAAGTTCCCCGGACATCCCTTCCTTGGACAGCAGATGCTCCCTGGAAACAAACCAGGGAACGCCAATAAAATAGCCGGAGACAGCTTACTCTTTGCATCTCTACTTTAACGGTTCTTTACAGGAAAATAAATGGGAACTATATTTGAAAAGAGAGAAGGCTGGCACAGTCCATACACAGAAGACATTAACTACCACGACACCTACCCACCCCTACGGGCACGCCGGGAGACACGGTTAACTCCGGCGGGAGAAACAGTAGTGCCGGCCACCAGGTCCTGGAATCATCTAAGTGCGCAGGGCTCGCGGCGTACGCGCCCTCAGCAGTGTTGGCACAGTGGGTCTCTGCTTCTTGAACACGTTCTTCCCATGGCTCCTGGGACAACAGGCTCTCTCTTGCTTTCCCTTCAACCTGCTGACCACTCCTTCCCAACCTCCTGTCTCTCCAAGCGTCCGCACAGGCGCACCCCAGGGCCCAGCCCTTGGCGCTGTCCACTCCCTATCTGCACTGGCTCTCCCGGTGGTCCAGCCGAGGCTCCGAACCACAGCGTGTTGTCCAATGACTGCAGTGGAATAATGACCCCTCTGACGTCCTCTGGGCCCCAGACAATACCTGACACGTTCACACAATGTCTAGTCTAATGCTGTGGCCAAAAACTGGAAGTCAAACTTTAATCCTCTTTCCTTCTCACTCCAATCCATCAGCAAATCCAATTTCAAAACATATCCTAGGGCCGGCCAAGTGGCGTGTTGGTTAAGAGTTGGCTTGGGACGCCAGCTCTGAGCAGCAGGGCCCT